AAACAGTTGGAGGGTCACATGCAGATGCATTCTGGGAGCTGATGGGCAGCACACTGGTCAGCTGGATGGAGTGTGGGAGGGGGGTCAAGTGCACTCAGATTTGGCCCTCAGTCGGGAGGAAAAGAATGTATACTAGTAACAGCCAGACAGTTAGTTAATATAGAAAATTTCAGGCCCTTGCAGCATTTTAACCTACGACTTTTCAGTTAAGCTGCAGTTTTTCATGCCAATCTGTGACCCCTGATGAAAAAGAAAAAAAAATGTCATCATTTACTCACTTTCCTTCTCCTGTGGAAAACAAAATACATTTAAAGAAATGTCTATTCATACAATGAAAGTCAGTGGGATCCGATCTGTGTTCCACAGAAGAAAGTCAATCAAACAGGTCTGGAACGACATGAGGGTGAGTAAATGATGACAGAATTTTCATTTTGGGTGAACAAACAATCCCTTTATGAAACGTCCCCTTTGCATGTCAAATGTGCATGACTCAGTATGTCAGAGTATGTGCATTATCTGCTGAGCCACAGCTCAAAAAAAAAAGAAAATGTTTTTTTTTGGCAGTTCCTTGAGTGCAGCTGTCATTATCTAAATACCTGAAAGATCTGTATCATCGTACATGACAATACCTGAATTACCACATTTCAACAAGGAAATGAAGACATGACAGTCAAAGAGAGAAAGATGGTCTGAACGGAGGAGAGGGAGGTCCCATTAAGAGTTTATTTCAGCTGGGTATATTTAGACACGACCGTGAAAAAAAAACAGAGAGGAAAAAGAATGATGTATAAACAGCAGTACGAATCTGATGTAACATACTGCAATAGGCCCACACACACACATAGCAACTCATGAGAAAATCTGCTGCAAATTACTCTCAAGGACCAAGAGCACAACACACACTCTGATATTACACATAATGACCGACATAAAGAGAAATCAGCACAGAAGTGAGCGAGACAGCTGGAAAATCAATACTATTAATGGCTGCAAGTGGTGCGCGGCGTGCGTAACAGTAATGGATAATATCATGAAGACTACATGAGCAGTCCGAGTGCTACACAGCAGCAGCCACAGTGACGCCATTGTGGTTCAAAACGCACTTCCTGTCTGCCGCCACAGTGTTTGTGTTTCATGTTGCCGTGGCAACTGTGAACACATAAATACCAGAGAAAAAAAAGGAGTGAGTGAGAGAGAAACTGAGAAATCGAGGACAAACCCATATGACTAGCTGGAATGAAAAAGCAAATGCATCCTGACAGGGCTTTACTGCTTTGTGTGTGTTAATGTGTGTTGTGGATTAGCAGTGGCCCCTAAAGCAACATTATAATACCTGCTGTTTCCATAGGGTTTTACTGCCTGTCCCAACAAATTCCAGTAAATATATGTAACATTATGTAAATGCAAGTGATTATGTCATGCACATTCAGAATATTTTGAAGGTTAAAACATTTTGTAGAATTAATAAGCACCAGTTGTGTAAGTAAAATGGCTAAGCCTGTGTGAAGTATAAAATATTTGCTGATAATAGTTTACCTATAGTACACTTTTACCTAAACATTTTCCTTAGCAAACAAAAGTCATTTATTTTTAAGCATGTTAGCATGTTCTGTGGTTGCTAGAACACTGCTATGTGGTTGTTAAGGTGCTTTGGGTGTTGTGTGGTTGCTAGGGCATTGCTATGTGGTTGCTAAGGTGTTTTGACTGGTTGTTGCTGTATTCTGTGGTTGCTAAGGTGTTTTGATTGTTTGTTGCTGTGTTCTGTGGTTGCTAGGGCATTGCTATGTGGTTGCTAAGGTATTTTGACTGGTTGTTGACGGGTTCAGTGGTTGCTAGGGCACAGCTATACACAGTTGTTTAGCTGTTTTGAGTGGTTTTAATGCATTACTATGTGGTTGCTAGGGTGCTCTGGGTGGTTGCTAGGGCGTTGGTAGGTGGTTGCTTAGTGGCCCAAGTTAAAAGAGACACAAGAGTGTGTGTGTGTGTGTGTTTTCCAGTACTCCAGTACTAATCAGTGTTGTTACTGTTAAATAAAACTATATATATAAAAAAAAAAAAATGGTAATTTAAATAAAATAAAATATTAACAGAAATAATCAAAAGAAAACTTAAACTTAAAAAACTTGTCTTGGCAACTAACTGAAATAAATACATTTAAGTTACGTCCTAAAACGAAAACTGAAATAAAAAATAAATGAAAGCTAAACAGAAATATAAAAGAAACTTATAAAAATGACAAAAGCGCATACTAAAATTACTAATACAAGAAAGAATCAAATTACTTTTGTATAAGATTGATTAAATTAGTACAAATGGCATATTCTATACACTCTTTACTATATATTTAGTTTTATTGTTGAATTTAGAATGTTCGATAAGTTGTCTTTTCCTCTGATTGTAGTACAGTTGAGTACAGTACTGTACTACACTTCCAGCACAAGTTTTGTTTATTGTGTGTTGATGTGCGAGTGAAAGAGCGTTGTGTCTGGAAGAGGAGCTTGTGTTTCCTCTGAGGAATGCTTGGATAATTAGATCCCGCTGTCATGACAACCAAACTTGATTTTTAAGGGGGCCAAGACTAGTTCAGTTATAGAAACCTGAGTCAGTGTCTGCGACTCACACACACACAGTATCAAGGCTGACTTTTAGATAAGACACACATGAACCCTTATCGCAGCATTCATGAATGTCTATGTACAACAGCCTTGGATTGTGAACTGATTTTGAGTTTATATAATTCACCCTTTTCCTTGCAATATCGCTGGAAATTAAGTGTCCCCAACTAAGCAAGTCAGAGGCGAGGCGACAGCAGTCAAGGAACCAAAACTCCATCGGTGACAGAATGGAGAAAAAAACCTTGGGAGAAACCAGGCTCAGTCGGGGGGCCAGTTCTCCTCTGACCAGACGAAACCAGCAGTTCAATTCCAGGCTGCAGCAAAGTCACATTGTGCAGAGGACTCAACTGGTTCCTGTGGTCTTGTCCCAGTGGCCGTCTAGGAGACAAGGTCTTCACTGGGGATCTGTCTTTGTGGCTTATCTAGTTGTCCTGATCTCCACTGACATTCAGGGCTGTAGAACAGTGAAGAAGGGACAGTGTGTCTGCCTCCCGAACAATGTTAGGTAGGTTATTCCAGAGTTTGGGCGCTAAAAAGGAGAAGGATCTGCCGCCCGCAGTTGATTTTGATATTCTAGGTATTATCAAATGGACAGAGTTTTGAGAACGCAGTGGACTTGGAGGACTATAATGCAGTAAGAGCTCGTTCAAATACTGAGGTGCTAAACCATTCAGGGCTTTATAAGTAATAAGCAAGATTTTAAAATCTATACGATTGAGAGGTCAAAAATGAAATAAAAGGAATAACTCACATTCTCTAACCTGAGCAGCAATACACAGAATAAAGAATGGAAAAATTATCCTTCTCAAGCTTGTGTGCCAAATATAATAACGGACAAACTTTCTGATTCAGCATATGACAAATTCAAACCCTCTATGGGTTATTTGACACTACGACATCCTGACCGCTGACTGTAAACACACAAAAGAGTAATGCATATAAAAATATTTTGATATGTGGCAAAACCTGGATGGAAGCTGAATGTATCCGTCATGTGTTGGTGTTGGATAACCTCAAGTCAAGTCAGTGTGCGAGTCAGTGCTTTCAGCAGCATGCTATGAGACTGGTGTGTGAGGAATGTGTGATGTCCAGACAGTGTGCAGTTGTTCGGACCCTTTTATATTCGGTCAGGCAGGAGCGGACAGTCGTAAAGTGTGTACGAGCTCAGAGTAAACACATGTCTCTGAGCGCTGGAGGAGGGTTAGTGTTTGTCAGTGTGTGTATGTCTGTGTCTGTCCTGTAAACACTGCACAGGTGTGACCCTCTTTGTGTCCTTCTGACCTAATACAAGTATTGGCATGCTGTAAACGGCATTCAAATGTTTAAATGAAGCACAAGCATGAATGAAAGTGTCTGAAAATGAACAACAGGTGTAAATAATAACCAAAACCAAGAGTCATTTTACTTAATAATATCTGTTTCTAATATGCTGCATATTAAAATGTCAAATTATTATATATGTATAGTATTCAAATATTATTGTATAGCATAGTAAAGTGTTTAGAAAAAATAAATTAACACATTAATCACGTTGTTGCTTTGCAGCCTGAAATAAAGATGGACACAGTTATTGTTTTATCCAGCTGTATTTACCTCCAAGTGAAAGATATAATCTGTTTTTTTCTCTGACATTTTGGTGTTATATTTTTCACTTGCATGTTATAAGTTACATTTTTTTTAAGGGGGTGATTCTTTTTTATACCCACTGTATATATACTGTATGTATATATATATTGTATAGCAAAAAAGTAAGTGTTTAGAAAAAAATTAAGGTACTACAGATATTAAATAAAGGTAAACAGTATGCTGTTCTCTATGTATTGTATATACAGAACAGTATAGTACAGTAAAGTGATTAGTATACAAAATGAGATGTAAAATTATTTATACAAATATTTATATAGAATATAATGTTTAAATGTGTACACAACATGTAAAATGTATATTATAGAGAATATTGCACTATAATATATGGTATTTTTGTAGTGTAGTGTACTAAAATGGTGTATAGTGCAGTGTAGGGAAGTACAGTGTGGTGTAGTGTAATATATTATTTAGAGCATAATATTTCTTGATCTTTGAGAAAAAGTAATAGTCTACACTACAGTAAGTACACTACAGTGTATTTTATAGTTGTGGTTTACAGTGTGATGTTCTACAAAACATTACTTTGTAGTTTATAATGTTTTTTATTAAAGTTAAATATTGTGTAGTATGGTGTAGTCCAACGCAGAATGCGAAGGTAAAGTAGAGAATAGTAAAAGACTGAGAAAGAGAGCAATCACATGCTGGTGTCCTGGATGAAACTCAACAGATGCAGGTGAAACAGTGATTGGGAGAGATCAGATGAAACGTGAATAGCATGAGGTGTGTGTGTGTGTGTGTGTGTGTGTGTGTGTCTGCTGTATAATTGCTCCCTGCCTCTTCCTGTGATCCACGCTGATGTAGGGGAGGGCTCAGCTTCTGACGTTATACAAATAGGAATTCCCTTCGCTGTCTCTCTCGCTCCGCTCTCATTCACTTTCACCCTGTCTGGCCCCCAGACGAACTCTCTCTCTCTCTCCTATATAAACACTCATAGAGTCTATACAGGAGTCGGACACTCCCTCTGAGACACAACTGCTATAAGGTTCCTCTCACGCTCTGAACGGAGGAGATACAGAGCAGTCAGACCACCCAGGTAAGAGGCCAGCGTTACACTTCTGAACTTTGAATAACATCTGCATGTGGTTTCTCCACTATCCGCTCGTGCCCTTTAAGTTTCCAAGGCGTTTTGCTCTTTAAAAAAAAAAAAAAAAACCTTGTTCAGCACTTTGGAGTGTAGTTGGTGATGGTCGGACGGACTGTTTGAGTTCAGCCAGACAAGTGATCCACTTGAGCGTCCAGAGGAAAGGTCATCCGTAAATAGTTTATTTGAATGGGCCGTCTGAGCGACTGCGCGACATCTGTAAGCGAGACATGAGTTCGGGGCGGCGGGAAGCGGAGGTCATAAAAACGCTCTCAAAACAAGGAGTGCGAGGATGAGGCTGTGGAGAAAAGCTCAAACATTCTTCTCATTGTTCTCAAGTCTCGAAAGACCGTGCCAGACGCTGCACATCCAAATCAACTTCCAGAGGAAGAAAAATAAAAAGTGTGGCAAAAACAGAAAGGCCAAGCCGGGAGTGTTAGACGAGGTGTGTGCAAACTGGAACGCTAGATCACAAGAGAGCGAAAGTGACCTGAGGTGATTATTCATCTTGTGCTCTTTCAGAGTAAGAATGAGAAACCCTGACAGTTTATTCAGTTGAGTGAAATGTTAATATAACAAAGTTATATAGAAGTAAAGTGTATAGTAGGTAATGGTGTAGTCTAGTACAGTGTATAATATATTGAAGCGTTTAGTACAACAAACTTTTCAGTATGATATTCTGTAGTGTACAATATAAGCGTGTAGTATAATGAAGTACAGTATACTACAGTAAAAAAGACAAGGGTTTTATAGTATATTGTTCATATTACAGTGAAGTGTGTACTTGAGTATATAGTAAATTGTGTAATATTGAAATGTATAAAATAGTGTTACATTATACAGTAGTGTAGTAGAGTGTATAATATATTGAAGCGTTTAGTATGATATTTTGTAGTGTGCAAGTGTGTAGTATAATATAGTGTGTAGTAGAGTATATTATATACTGTATGTGATATATTATGTATATTATATACTATAGACAAGTATTTTGTAGTATATAGTGTATAATAAAGTGTGTGTGTTGCGGTATACAGTAAAAAGTCAAATGTAGTAAATTGTGTAGTACTGTGAAGTGTATAAAATAGTGTTACAATATATACTCTAGTATAGTACAGTGTATAATAAATTGAAGCATTTAGTACAGCGAATTGTTTAGTATGATATTCTGTAGTGTACAATACAAGTGTGTAGTATAATAAAATGCATAGCACAGTATGGTAAAGTGTGTAGCACAGTATAATATATTAAAAGGACAAGCATTTTATCGTATATTACAGTGAAGTGTGCACTCTAGTATATAGTAAATTGTAGCAAATTGTGTAGGATTGTGAAGTGTATTGAATAGTGTTGCACTATATACAGTAACAATAATAAAGTGTGTAGTACAGTATATTATTATTAAATGTATTTTATAGTATAGTGTGTATTAAAATTTACTGTAGTAAACTGTAAAAATGTAAAAAGTAGTCAAATATGTAGTATTGTGAAGCGAATAAAATAGTGTTAAGAGTAATATTACACACTATACTGTAAATTGAAGTGTTGAGTACAATAAATAGTTTAGTATGATATTCTGTAGTGTACAATACAACTTGTGTAGTAGTGTATGAAGTGCATAGCACAGTATGGTAAAGTGTGTCGTACAGCATATTAGTGAAAAAGACAAGTATTTTATAGTATATGTTAATGTGAAGCGTGTACTGTAGTATATAATATAGTGAGTTGTACAGTATTATGAAGTGTATGAAATAGTTACATTATATAGTACAGTGTGTAACAGAAAAGGAAGCCTCATAAGCCTCATAATGTGCTCATTAAGCCTAAAAATGAGAAATTGAGACCGCGAGAGAAACTAGAGAGACAGAGGGAAGCTTCAAGGTTCTGGAAACAGGCCTGTCCCACTTTTCTGAGAGCGCAGGAGTCCTCAGGACTGGTACAGAGATTAGGAAACGGTGCACAAGTGGAACAAGTGTGATGGATTCCTGTATTTGCTGCTGTGTTTTCTTCATGGCCACTGTGCTTAAGTTAATGGCTGCTGCTGAGGAGTGAGTGTAACAGTATCTGGAGTAAAGTTACAGGGATATTAGCACGAGAACCATGAGCTGTGAATTTACGCTCGATTTAAAAGGGAACAAACGCCTTTTCTCTGCAGTGAATGCCGCTGCAGAAGTTGTATTTGGTGTCAGTCACTTTGGTTTTGAGTTAAATGAAGCTCATGAACAAATGAGAATTATTAATTCTTCTGATTTTAATTTGATATAATTTTATGTATATTTTATATATTATATAACAGTAGCCTATAATGTTAATATCTAAATGCAATATTGTATAAATATCTAAATATTTATACATTAAATGAGAACAAAATGTATACAAAAATGTATATAAATATATTTATTTAATCAATTTCTCATATTTACTTAATCTTATTGCACATTATCAGATTATTTAAGTGAAATTCAAACCATTAAACAGTAGAGGACTGAATGTAATTAATGACTCAGCAAATTATATAGTACAGCAAACAGCAAACATATTCTCACGGGCAGGGTGGAGTACTGTACGCTTATAGAAGCCGTCGGTCATGATTTTTGCTGAGTCATTAATTACATTCAGTCCTCTACTGTTTAATGGTTTGAATTTCACTTAAATAATCTGATAATGTGCAATAAGATTAAGTAAATATGAGAAATTGATTAAATAAATATATTTATATACATTTTTGTATACATCTTGTTCTCATTTAATGTATAAATATTTAGATATTTATACAATATTGCATTTAGATATTAACATTATAGGCTACTGTTATATAATATATAAAATATACATAAAATTATATCAAATTAAAATCAGAAGAATTAATAATTTTTTAATATATTGCTGGTGTTTCAGTCAACACAATTAGACTTTTTTTATATTTTACTTGTGTTTAATTTTTTTAAAATGCTTCTTGTGTTATTTTCATTTGAAAGTCATTTTGCATCTGGTTACTGAATATGTATAATGATGCTGTGTGGGCCTAAACAGATGCATCCAATCCTATGTCCACTTTTTAAAAAGGTCCAGTATCAGATTACCTACAGCGGCTAAATGAAAAATCTAATTTGATGGCAACTATACGGATCTGGCAAGCAGCAGAGCCAATGATATTATGGGTATTTTTTCTTCAATCCCTAAAATTAGCTGCAACGTGAAAGTGTGACTTCTCATCACGAGGACAACTGTAAGAAGTCTTTCCTGCTCTTTTGCTCTGTGAGGTGTAACCGCATCGGCTGCATCACACCAGACGCTGTCATTAGTGAGAGGAAAGACTGAGATCACTGGCAAAAAGAACAACTGCGGCTTCAATTTAGGGGTGGAAAAGCTGAAAGGAAAGATCTGATGGAAAATATTAATGGACAGAGATCTTTCCGTTCGTGAGGCATCACTTCATCAAGTCTAGATTGGGTGGATGATTTCAAGCATTTGAGAATCGGGAAAACACATCACAGCGCTTCAGATGGTCCAGATGCCCTTCCAAAGCAATATTCGGGCTTAATGCATCGTTTCAGTTGCAGTCTAACTTGGAAAGGCGCGTTTTTGTGTGTGGAAAACGCATAATGATTTTTCTAAGGGGAAAATATCATGCTTTAAACTCTTTTGCAGCTTTCGGTAACTGGACATTTGAGTTCAATCCTGACTTGGGTGTAGAAGTGAGATCAAAAATGTCTGAATGTCTTTCCATTTGATGCATACACATCAAACCAAGTGTCATTTATTAAAACACTTTTCAGTCAAAACATTTCACAAAAAAATGAGTTTTCTTAGGCTTTACACGATAAAACAACAGATATTCTTTAGAATTACTGATAAAGTAAACATTTTGTGGTTGTGAAATATTAAATAAGGCCATAGTTAATGTGATGAACTACACCTGATGTTACTCTTATAATAAACCTGTGTGAACTTGAGGACAACATTGAGCAAAAACCATGAAAAAAAGTGAAGATAGCAAAGAGAAAAGATCCTTAAAATGCAGGTTACAAGCACTTGCTTTGATATCTTGTTATCAAATGAAATTCAGACATTTTTAACTGCGGCTTTAATGTCCTAACTGTTTTTTGGGGCCTGTGTGTGTAAGACCGACGGGCCACATCCTCTGATCAGCATCTAAATGACTGTCTGTCTGTAACACTTAACTGCAAAGTCTCATCTTGCGCAGTTAGTGGGAAAAAACTGAAAAAAAACAGCACCACAAATAGTCAGTGCTCTATAAGTAATGGAGGTCTTTGTTTAGAGCTGGCAGGTTTACTCGCAGCATCATCCGGGATATTTTATGTAAAGACATAAACATAATGCTCCTGGTTTACGTAAGCTAGGAGTTCCCCTGCGTCTGGACATATTCATGTCCTTTTTTTCAAAGCTGACATTTGTATTGACAACTGCGAGACGCTGTGAGGAACTGGAACGATTCTGTCGACTGGTTACGATGCTGTAAATGTTCCTTCATAAATGTTTAGAGGGAAAACAGTTTGAAGAGAATGCGAAGTGACATGTTACAACTGGAAAATATGTTTCTGCTTTAAAAACTCCAAACTGATGAGTCGCTGTAGGAAAGATTGCCGTAATAGACTGCAATGAGGTGAAATGAAGAGCAAATGGAGACCGATTCTCTTAAGAAAGACTGTAGTTTTCAAAGATATGTCTCTTCTAGAACAGATCTCAGTAATGTCTCAAAGTGTGCCAAAATTTGTATTAATCCAAGAACTTAATGCCATCTACACTGATTTTATAGGTCCAAACTCTTACTCTATGTCTACAATAATCTCTATTTTAGGAGAAACATCTGAGATGAAGCTGATATTGAAATAAAACTCCTCTTAGCAATGCATTAAACACATGAAGTAAACACTTAAAATACTACAAATTTCCAACTGTGAAACAAGTCTGGTCCTCTGGGACTTTATCTGAGAGAATGAGTGGTCCTGCAAGATTCACTAGATCCTTCACAGGTTCTGCCTGGTTTTTTGTCACTCTTTAAATTGTACTCCAGATGAGACACGAGGTTTTGAACAGAGCAACATACTTAATGTTTTTTTTTTACGGTCACTCGGCAGGGACTGCACGTCTTTCTGACCTCATTTCAAACTGTCATTGAAAAGCTATTTTTATAAGTCTACAGGAAGCCCAGTCACGCTTGCAGAAGGAGGGGCCAGCTGCAGTGACCACGGACTACATGACAAAAAATGAGGTGCCCTTGGAAGACACAAACACACACACACTTTGCATGTTAAACAGACAAGTGCAGGCAAGTTCATGTGTCATCATTTACTTGCTTTTAAACCTGTTGGACTTTCTTTCTTCAGTGGAACCCAAAAGAAGATGTTCACTGTTAAGCTCCAAAAAGAATCAAAAAGCACCATTAAAGTCAACATAGGCCCATTGTAAAAACATTCCTCTAGCAACATTTTGCAAAACTCCAAAATACATGCTATTCACTGCAGTTTAGTGCTGAAATTAACACTATTTGCAGTAAAACATCAACAACTTATATTTCTTTTCACACAAATTATGATTACAGGTTGAATATTGATTAATAAGGACTTATTTTCACGCATTTCTTTGCACAATGCTGTGTTATGAGCTCAATCCACTTTTACCATAGTGCATGATTTGTAAACTAACAGATTTTGATGTTTGCATCACATAACCAGCTCCATATGGCTTTTCTAAAGTAAATTTGCTCGGGAGCTCACCTGATACAGCGATGTGCAGCGCTCAGTCCAGTGAAACACAAGTAATGAACTCGATAAGCAGTTGAAAAACGTGTAGAAGCAAGCAAAAACGGCATGGTTGCTTAAGCAACTGCATTTTTAACTCACGTTTGTTAACATTTTAGGGTACGTTTAGAGCAGGATTTAGTTCATTAAAAAACGTGACCTTTTAGAGCCACTCTCCGAACATTTTATTTCCAAACTGCTGCGATACACGCAACAACTAACATAATAAAACATTGGCAGATTCACATTCATCTGTTTCTGATCATCTAAACGAGCTTTTAGTGCCACTCACTGGATATTTCACTTTGACCGTGCCGCAAAATGTGCAAAAAGTAGCATAATTTTGCAGAAATGTTGTCACTTGGGTTTAGCTTACATCCAGCTGACATGTTTTTACAACTGGCTAACATTCTGGCAAGGTTCTTTCAAAGTTATAAACAAACGTTCTTCCAGTAATGTAAACAGAAAGTTTGTTCAGAGTTATCTGGTCTTTAATAATGTTCTCAAGCGTTAGCACAAAAACTTTGTTTATACATGATTTCTGAAAAGCTTTAATTGGGCATTCATGTAACTTCTTTCAAATATTACTACTCGTTTCAGAATGCTTAAAAGAACGTTCAAAAGTAAAGTTCCCGTAATATTCACAAAAGTCTAAAATGGAATGTTCCCTTAACGTTTGCATAACAAAAATATTTCGAATAGTCAGAGAACATTCAGAATGAATGTTTTCATAACTTAATGGGAACGGTATGTTTTTAGAACATATTTTTGTTCGCTGGGCAAGTACTTCGCTGGTGCTTTTCTGTCCTTTTAAGAGTTCAGCATCCTGTATGTGTGCACTGTTTGGAAAAGAGCAGCGTTGACGTTCTCCTAAACATCTCCTTTCATGTTTCACAGAAAAAAAAGAAAGCCCTACAGGTTGGGAATGACACGAGGGTGAGTAAACGATGATAAAACTTTCATTTTAGGTCGAACTCTCTCTTTTTTTTTGTCTGTTTGCTATCTGTCTGCTGTTCTCACAGAGCCCTTCTGTATGATATGTTAGGACAGATATAGAAATGTAGGACCCCACCTCAGACAGAATGACTTAAGCCCGGACCCTCCTCTTCTGCCGGCCAGGGGAATTCCTGGCAGAGTGATTTTTAAACCTAATGACTGAATCACATTGCCAGGGATTTCCCATGGCTCGTGTGAGGGACTCGACTCGGAGACTGCAGACACGCCAGATATATGCATTGCAAACACACACACACACCTGAACACGTGAGACCCTAATCCTGAAGGAATGCAGACCGTCTCGCACATGAGTTAGTGGTGACAGAAGTCCCAATTGACGTGCATTTCTATGCTGGTTGTGTGGTGTCAGGACTTAGCCCACTTGTGAACACTGCATTGAACTTCTTTGTTCACAGTGGTTAAGTTCTGCCATCCTGAGACCCAAATCAGCAAAAGAGAAGTTAAAGCCAATTGTGCCATCAAACTAAATGCATGCACACTGAGTATTGTGACATGATATTCTCATTGCATATAATAATGTACCTGAAAACTGCATTAAAGATGCACTAGAGACTAATTTGACTCTTCTTGCTGTCGTCAGGCTCACGCTGTTGTGACAGGCCTGTTTTTATCTTGTCAGAAGTAATCTTCATCTCAGGTGTTTAGCACGATATGCAACAAATGAGCCGTAGCCTGGAAATAAAAATACTTGGATAAACATCTTTTGTTGGTACTGGAACAAATTCCTATCAAACATGGTGGATTTTTTCAGGCGGCGAACCACCTAATGCCACTAACTTCCTCTATCCCAGCTAACAAAAATATGAGCCAAGAGTGTCTTGCTAACGTTCCCATTAATGAAAACGTTCTTTCTGAATGTTCAGAGGATATTACAAAACATTTTTTTAAATTATGCGTTAAGGGAACATTCCATTTTAGAATGTTGCAAACCTTATGGGAATGTTAAATTTGAACGTTCTGAAAAAGAAAAAAAAAACTGATGAGCATCCCACTAAAATGTATTAGAAATAAAACATTACATGAAAGATGTAAACATAACATGTTTTGAGAACATTATTAAAGACCAGGAAACTCTAAACAAACATTCTATTGATTACATATTCTATTAACATTTTATTAGTTACTGGAAGAACATTTGTTCATAACTTTGAAAGAACGTTAACCAAAGTTCTGTAAAAGTAGCTGGTGACAAAGTAGAACTCCAATGTTCACATTATATCCCAAATTTTGAAAAGCCTTACTTTTACTAATCCATAGTTTTTCCAGAGTGCTTTTTTGTTCATATTTCATTGAAATGAACTAGACAGTTTTTTTTATTTATTTAAAAATACAAAATAAATGCATTTAGACCTGTGAACCATTTATTTCTTCATTAAAGATTATTTAAAAATACATTATTGCTTTATTTATTTATTTATAGATTGATGAATTTAATGTTGGTGCTTTTTCTCATTTATAATTATGTAATTAATTTGGGTCCTTTTTAAATCAGTCAATAATCTTGTAGACCAGGGGTTCTCAACTCTGGCCCTGGAGGCCCACTTTCCTCCAGAATTTAGCTCCAACCCTGATCAAACACACCTGAACAAGCTAATCAAGGTCTTCAGGATCACTAGAAAGTTACTGGCAGGTGAGTTTGATCAAGGTTGGAGGTAAGAGGTGAGAACCCCTGTTGTAGACCTCGGTATCCTTCATTGACCACCAGTGAATCAAGTAGGATATCTGGAACCTATACTTAACCCTAACCATTAGCTACATTAATAATTAAACGAATGGTTGATATGACCGCTGTTCCAGGACCAACAAAAGATATTGATCCAGGAACCCATCTTACTGAAATGACATGGAAATAGGGATGGAAATGTCAGATTTTTAGACTGTAAAAAAAGATACTGCATATGTCTTTTGTAAGTTTGCAACTGTTAATCCTTTTAGTGAAGCTGAAAAATGTATGCATTAAATGAAATCTGAAAATCAGCACTTCAGAGTTTTCTCGGTGAAATGAGGCAACTAGTAAAGTTGCAATGGGCCATATTATTGGTACCTCAATTCGAACGGTCTCAAAAAATTACAAAAGCATGACATATTCATGCCAAATAGGCATAAACAGCGAACACAAACTTGATGTCAAAGTTCACCAACAGGGATGTTTAGGACAGTTGCTAAGTGACCACACATGTCCGAACTGAAACCAGTTTCAACAAAAACTCTTCACACAAAGGCGGAATTTATAGCAGGGCAGCCATTCAGAAACTGTTTGTATCCAAGACCCAAACGATGCATTAAACACAAAACAACGGAAAAAAATGGTCCAGTGAGTCATCTTTTACCATATTTCCTGCATCCAGGCGGGTTTATCTCATGGGAAAGCCAAAGATGCCTGCAGCCCGCAACATCGGTTGCCAGCTGTGAAACGTGGTGGGGGATCTGTAAGCGTATGGGCCGCTGTCTCACACAAATCCTCAGGTAACTGGTCCGCAGGATCGTGAAACGGCGACCCAGGGCAACGAACGCCGTTCTAGCATAATGCTCCCATATACAGCTATCACTGCCTGCATGAAGACAAACCAAACATCACTGAACCATTACAGAAAGTTCGGAAGAACATAGATTCACATCTCCATTCACTCTCAAAGAACTGGCGGCTTTTACTCGTGAAGAATAATGTGCTGAAACTACTATTAAAACAAAGTGTGGCCTTGATATCATTAGATAGATAGACAGATAGACACAGACAGACAGACAGACAGACAGATAGATAGATAGATAGATGATGGATAGATAGATAGATGATGGATAGATAGATAGTGGATAGATACATAGATGATATAAACAGACAGATAAGACAGTTCTCAGTATTTATTTATTCATGGCATTATTTGATGCACCACATGTTGGAGCATATATATGAGATTGGTTTCATATAAGCATACAATTTCTGTCTGTCTGTTTGTTTAAAAGCAGCTGATAAATGTATATATATTTATAAGTGTGTGTGTGTGTATATATATATATATATATATAATTTATTTGTAATTATACATTTTTAAATATAGATTTTTTTATTTATTTATCTATTTATTGATTGATTGATTGATTTTATAGATTGATAGATTTAACATTGGTGCTAAAACGGTTTTGTTGTTTGTTTTCTACGTATTTGTCAAGATAATAATTCATGCAATATAATTTTTGTCTTTATGCAAAATATTTGTGTGTGTGTGTGTGTGTGTATCATAAATACCCGAGGATACTGTGACTGTTTGACTGGTTTCATACTCGATGTCTGTGTCTCAGTTCGCTATTATTTTGGTGCGTGTGGTTTGTCTGTGTCTCTGTCAGTGGGCTGGTCTCCTGTGCCTGCTGTGCTGATAATCAGTGGATGGCTGTAGCTGGCTCAGTTCAGCAGGAACAGGGGTCTGGTCTTCTCTCTGTGGCCTTCTGCTCCAAACACTCTGAAACACAGAGAGAGGACTGATCATGCTGCTGCTCCACACTGTAAGTCACAGGTGTGAAAATGTAAGTGACATGTCATTTATAATGATGCAAAAATGATATAATATTCACATTTTTCCAAGATATAATAGTAGTTAAATAATGTTAAACAACATAAATTCATTCAATTGTTTGACAATATGTACTGTCAATTTTAACACTTCAAATAAAATAATTTTTCGAAAATCAGTCTTACCTGTACGTTTCCGTTTTTTTAGCATTTGAAATAATAAATGGTAATAAAGTTGGTGTTTTAAAATATAAAAGACTTATTTAATATAAATATATTTCTTATATTTTATCTGGTATATATTAATCATTTCTATTTATTACAATTATATGTGTATTTATTGTATTATATGTGTGGTGTATTCTACAGTTCATCTTTTCTATATTTTTTTTTTTTTACTAAAATAACCAAGAAATAAGAAACTATATGAAATACAATAAAATGTTAAATATATTTATATATATATATAAAAAGTATATATATAATTATTGCATAATTATATATTATTATTATTATTATTAACACATTTAAAAAGTTAAAATATTATTAAATATAAACTTACAAACATGTTAAATATTGCTATAAACCAATTATGAGAGCTCTTTCATTTTTTTGTTGAAATAACAGAAATAAAGTTTACATTTATATATACAGTATAGGCTATATATATATATTTTTTAATTTTTTATTTTATTGAAATATATATATTTAATCTGATGTAACAAAAGGTCACGGGTTAAATAAATAACTTAGACCTAATAAAATATTTAAAATATATATTAAAATTAATTAATAAAAAATTGGATGGTTTAGTTTATAGTGGTCTCTGGTTTGAAAATCAGAAAAATTGCAAATTCAATCTTGTTTTATACAAGGGTTTTGAGGGGTAATGGGCCATTGCCCTTGTTGCTCCATATCCTTGCATAAAGTGTACTGTGAGTCATCTTGAACTTGAATAAATATATCAGCCAAATAACTTAGCAGTAGCAAGCAGAATAATAAATACTGCACTGACACACAAAGCCAATGAGCCCATTATCCAGCATATCCCAAGCTACTCTATATGGATGTACACTAATATTTCTTATGATAATTGTGGCTCTGTCCCAAATCTAGAGAGCTGCTTATAGAGGCGTCATTTTCACATACTGCCGACATGAATATTGTTCCAAAAGTCATCACATATATCCTTAATAGAGAAGCTAAAGCCATTTCTTTTCACTTCAGAGGGCTTAGACAAGCAGACAACTGTTTGTGAAACTAGCGTTTGCTATTTGCATTGCAGAGAATGTCGAGTTTCTTTTCAGTCTATACTTAGAAAAGAATGTCGTAAGTGTTTTTTCAGAAACTTCTCACCTCCTGTCCTCTTCGTTTGTTCATCATTTCTCTTCGTTCAGTTCTCTGTGAAATTCCCCAAACGGTAAACAGTGAAATGTGTCAACAGCTTTCTTTTTTTTTTTGTTCTGCTATCGCGGGCCAAACAATTGGAAAATACAGCAAGTGACCATGGAAACCCAAATACATACGCATGCAATACATACAAATACAGACATTTCAATGTTTGATCGCCAAACCACAAGAGAAACCACGGTCTGACACGGAGTCGAGTTAGAAATCAATTCTAAGAATAATCCTTGCAGAGCGCGAGCAGATACAGATATGTCTTGAAAATGTTGAACATTTTAATTCATATATTAATACATCAATAATAGTAATTAATAAATTATTAATAATATATTAAACTTGTTATATATTTAACTTGTGTGTGTGTATACACTTTGTATAAATATTGTTTAATTAATTTTATTTAACTTGTGTGTGTGTGTGTGTGTGTGTATATACACAGTTTGTAAATATTGTTTAATTAATTTTATTTAACTATATATTTCAAATAATACTGCTTAAAATAAAAATACAAAAAATATATAAAAGTTTAATTAATATTTTCATATATCAATAAAAATACATTCTAAATAATTTAGCTTTCTTTTTTGTAAAATTATTTATTTTTATATAAATTCTTTTATTTTTTTATTATGTAGCCTAATTTAAATATAATTTCAAAGAACAATAAATATTAATTACAAATATATTTTTTTACATCGAATTAATATTAAATTATATTATTAATGTAGATATATTTTTACTTTTATAATTTATAAACACATTAACTTCTAAACATGTTTTATAGAATACTTAAAAATTTGTAAATGTTGTGATGTTATATATTTCACTTGTTTATATAAAAATTATATATATATATATATATATATATATATATAATTATAATTATATATATACATACATACAGTGTGTATATATATTATGTTTAATTTTGTTTAACATGCATGTAATATAATATTGTTTAAAAAAATAGGCCTACAAATATGTATACATGGGATTCATAAGTAAAATGTTTGGGTGCATAATGGTAATGAGAAAATGTGCTTAATTGTCATGAAAATAATTGATAGTTTTATGCAAAATATATAACCTTTTTATATTTTAAGATATTATATTTAACAATATTTTAAATGTTTAATTGGGTGAATAATCAAAAGGATCATGTTTCCGTTCTGCATTCTATTACGTATCATAAAATATTCCACAAGGTACTGTTTAATAATGAGATGTAGCTGAATGAGGGCTGCTTTCATTGATGCGTGTGTGTGGACGGTTCATGTGGAGAACAAGAGCGCCGGATGTTTGCTCACACTAAAGCTGTCTCCATGGCAACGAAGAAACCCGTCCGTCAGCGCGAGCAAATGGCTGCGTCAGTGCTCGAACTGACATCATCGCACTTCCTGTTTCTAAGGCGACAACCGGGAGAACTGCTCTCGTTATTTCTCAAGTTAGCTGAAGTTCCCTCGCGGACTCTTTCAGCTTTAACGCGTTTCAGCAGCGCTCTCACACCTCTGCAGGTTTACGACAGACGTGAGGCAGTGAGGGGCGGATCACCATGGGAACCAAACAGGTAAATAGAGGGGAAGATCAGAGAAAGAGGCGGCTGAACCAACAAATTCACACACACGACAAGACTCCGCACATAAAGCCACCCACAGACGATAACCCTGCGCTTTCCCACCTCCCGTCTGTTTATCTACACATCCAGAGGTCAGAGGTCATTAGCTGGAGGTGCAGAACAGGGATGTTGATTGTTTGGAAGAAGAAATAAATCAATATTTGTTCTAAATGATACATGTTCAGTTAGGATTAAATCAAAAATTAACTTTTCATTTTATATATATATATATATATATATAATTTAAAGTAGTAGTAGAAAATAATATATTAACAGTATTTAAACCTTTTAATGTCAAAAACATTGTTGAATTATTGAAGTTATTTTTCCTATTATATATTATTTTTATTTTCAGTATTTGATTTCATGAATTCTCTGTCTCAGGATATATATCTCATTAAATCAACATTAGTATAAATGGGATTTTTAAAGTCTTCCAGGCCAGGCTTTTCTTCTAAGAAATAATACAAACAGGCAAAAGGACTTCACGTAAGACAGCTGGTGTTCATACTTTTCCATTCACAGCCTTCCACACACATAATAAATTGCATAGGGTTAGGGAAAAAGCCATGTCTCCAGTGCAACGCACAACTCATCTTCTGCAGGACTTTAATAAACATGCATGCCAGTAAAGCAAACACTTAGAGCAGGAGAGCATTTCCAAATGGGACAATAATGGGGAAAAATGGAAATCCATAACATGGGGGAACGTTTTACTGGAATGTAGCCTAATGTGCTGCTAGGTAACATCAGCTAAAATTCAGTGTCCTGGCTAGTGTACTGAAACAAACAGGATCGAAGGAAATATATGCTGGATATATTTGATGCTGTCTTGAAATGTGTCACTTCGTATTAATGCATCTACTAAATATGCATAAATGTGAATGTAAAAATTTTTTATTCAAATGTCAGTAGCCTATACATATTAAAATGAGTTTGTTTCATGTGGCATCTACTTAAGTACGCCCATTTATCTGACTTGCAAAAACAGCAACCTGTCTTAAATAAAAGAAGAAAACAAAACCTGAGACAATGGCATGCATTGCATGCAAGTTCAGATATGCACGATTTAGTTCACGACAGATTACTTATCGCAGTAAGTTCAAACGTGCGAAAGGAAGTTTGACACTAGGCTAACAAAAGCAACACATTCAATAGATCAATTTGGTCAAAACACTTGATTTGTACATTTACTAAAGCTGAGCAAACGTTATCACAGCGCATGCCGTTAACATCTCGACTACCGCTTTCAACACAACTGCTAAATACAGTATAAATCTCTACAGTTTCTCACTGCAATTAAACCGTTTATACAGGCCAGGCCAAACGAAGTAAATCAGAGTCTCTTGTGAATAACAGAGCTGTACATTAGTGGATCGGGAGACTGTTGGATTACAGGTAGTGAAACACGACTGCTCTCTGCTGGCCTTAAAGTGACAGAGCAATAAAGATGCATCATGCTTTTACAGATGAAAACGTACACTGGATTTTAAATTATTTAATGTCTTTCAACTCTCTTAATTCATGTCCATGCATTTTAACAGCTATATAATAATAAGCTAATGTAAGTTATGGAGTAAACGCACTCTCCATAGTGATTTCATTTTTTTACCAATTATTTTTTTAATCTGAAAATTGAAAATAATGATCTTTAAAAAAAGCATCATATGACCCCTTTAACATCCAGATTGTACTCCACAAACAGCACATTTTAATTAAAATTAGTTAAATCTTTTATATATAATATATATTTTATTTTTAATATTTATGCAATTAAATATTATGAAATTATATTATATATATATATATATACGTACATTCAAAGAAATGTGTTAATAAATAAAAATTAAAAATAAAACTAGTTTATTACGCATTCTATTCAATATCCCATTAGGTGTTGATGATTCATTTATTGTCCATGCGTTTTAACAGTCATATAATAATAAAAATAATGTAGTCTCCATGGTGACATTTACATTTTTTCATCTGAAAATTGAGAGCATAAACATACAGACAAAATAAAATACACAAACAGCACATAAGATGTTGTGCATAACAGTGAGGGATGCAATACAATAAAATACACATTGTACCACCTCAAAGAGGTACAAAATTAAACATAAATGCTAGTAAACTAAAAAAAATAATAATATTAATAATAATAGAATCCAACTTTAAAGATAACCTTGTAAAGTTGTTTTTGAACATATTATACCAGACTTTAGTACACTAAGACCATAAGAAACTAAGATGTTTGTTTGTTTAAATGGATAACTATACATGATTTTATGCATTTAAATAGAGCTTTAAACCCATCTGCACTGAAAAACAAGCAATCAGGAAGACCGCGAGGAGGGGTGAAGCGTTTAAATAGGGTTTACAAGAGAAAAACACCTTCAATCGCTCTTCTTTTCCTTGATCAACCTGTTGGCGTTGTGTGCAAAAGTTTCAGCCACTAAAAGTGGAAAGACTATAGAAGCATCAGCGTAGACCTGCACACAAACACAACGACACAGTTAACCAGATCATCATATGCTATGAGTGTATGAGCTGTATATACATCATATTTATAACTGGCAACATAAGATAACAAGAGCATGCTAACATATGGGAATCATACCTTTACAGGTGAGGCGTCCATGCGGATCTTTCCCCAAGAAATGGCTTCATCTGGCCGAGCGCCTGAATCTGAGCCGTCAAACTCCTGACCAGTGTTGACAAACACCGCAAAATCTGCTCCATTCCTCTAAGACAGATGAAAACAGATGAGAAAAGCATCATGTTCTATTTTCAAACTCAACGTGATTTAGCTTTTTTGGGGTTCATGCGTTTACCATGAGATTAGCGTTGGCGATGTGATGTTTGACGAGTCCTCCTCCGAGAATGATCATCCCTGTGCTCTTGGCAAACACAGCCTTGCTGTTCAACCTCCGGATATCTGAAGTATACAAAAATGACCATAATGAAATTATGTTAATCTCCAGATCTGCATTCGTATCATATCTTGAGCGACTCACCCTCCACAATGTCAAGCACCAGGCCAGGGTTCTTATATGAGTGGAAATAGATCATATCACCCAATGAGCCGTCAGTGAGGGCGGGACTAAACACTGGGATGTCATTCTGAAAGACAAGCATGCAATCATTAACAGATTGGAATTTGAGGAAGGACTGAGGTGAAGGTGATTTGTGTTTAATTCAAACGTTACCTTATAAGCCCAGTAGTACACGGAGTCTGGGTTGTTGATTTCTTTGCCTAGTCTGTGGATCATTTTGGACGGTGTCCAGTGTGTGCCCTGATGAAAAGACATTTATTGCAATATTGCACAGTCTCACTCACAAAACAAAACTTCAATATAGAAGTCAAATGTTGGGCCACATTAAATAATTTTTTGTTTAATAAATTTAAAGGCATCACACTCATAAAATCATAGTACCAATGAAATACCAAAAAATTACAAATATTTAACAACCCAAATTTAATAAAATAAAATAAGATAAAAATAAAACTAAATTAAATTAAATTATTACCTCCTTATTTTTCCCCCAGCACCTTTTGGTCCAGAATGGGCATTTTTACAGAAACTAAACTAAATTAAATTAAATTAAATTTCTCACATCTGTTTTTGTTCCAGCAACATTTGTTCCAAAATAGGGATTTTTATCAAATTTAATTACATTTAATTTCTCGCATCTGTTTTTGTTCCAGCACCATTTGGTCCAGAATGGGCATTTTTACAAATATTTAAACACCCCAATTTAATTTTAAAAAGTAATTTAATTTAAACATCAAAGTACAAAACACATACCAGTTTCTGGAAAATTTTACAAATATTTCACCACCCCAAATATAAAATAAAAAAAATAAAAAAATGTCTCGCCTCTGTTTTTGTTTCAGCACAATTTGGTTCAGAATGAGCATTTTTACAAATATTTAACCACCTCAATAAAATGAAATGAAATGAAATAAAATAATTCTCACCTCTGTTTTTTGTTCTAGCACCATTTGGTCCAGAATGGGCATTTTTACAAATATTTAAACACCCCAATTTAATTTTAAAAAGTAATTTAATTTAAACATCAAAGTACAAAACACATACCAGTTTCTGGAAAATTTTACAAATATTTCACCACCCCAAATATAAAATAAAATAAAATGTCTCACCTCTGTTTTTGTTTCAGCACAATTTGGTTCAGAATGAGCATTTTTACAAATATTTAACCACCTCAATAAAATTAAATGAAATAAAAGAAAATAATTCTCACCTCTGTTTTTTTGTTCTAGCACCATTTGGTCCAGAATGGGCATTTTTACAAATATTTAAACACCCCAATTTAATTTTAAAAAGTAATTTAATTTAAACATCAAAGTACAAAACACATACCAGTTTCTGGAAAATTTTACAAATATTTCACCACCCCAAATATAAAATAAAAAAAATAAAAAAATGTCTCGCCTCTGTTTTTGTTTCAGCACAATTTGGTTCAGAATGAGCATTTTTACAAATATTTAACCACCTCAATAAAATTAAATGAAATAAAAGAAAATAATTCTCACCTCTGTTTTTTTGTTCTAGCACCATTTGGTCCAGAATGGGCATTTTTACAAATATTTAAACACACCAATTTAATAAAAAAAAAAAAAAAAGTAATTTAATTTAATTTAACTTCATTTAATTTAAACATGAAAGTAAAAAACACATACCAGTTCTGGACAATTTTACAAATATTTCACCACCCCAAATATAAAATAAAATAAAATGTCTCACCTCTGTTTTTGTTTCAGCACAATTTGGTTCAGAATGAGCATTTTTACAAATATTTAACCACCTCAATAAAATGAAATGAAATGAAATAAAATAATTCTCACCTCTGTTTTTTGTTCTAGCACCATTTGGTCCAGAATAGGCATCAGCCAGTCTTCAAACTTACAGTAATTATCATTTGGTACCAAGAGATTACCTATTCTGAGACACAAAATATAATTATATGCATTCATAATTACATATAAACATACATATAAAAATGTATGAGGAACCGTTTTCTTACCTATTAATGCCTTGCTGTCGTAGCTCTTTGCCTTTTAGACTGAACTCACCGAGGTAAGTGGGTGCTAAACATTTTATAAAGTCTTCCTCAATCCCTCCTGCTGTGGTCACTATCACATCTACCTACAAAAACATGAATACTGAATTCAAAATTAATAGATTATTAGCACTTTATAAGAACTGAACAGATAGTGGCTGACCTAGACAGATGTTATTAGCTGAAATAGATCATGAAACATAATGGTGCTTATTCAAAGTCACGGGGCTGGCTGTACCATTCTGTGCTGTGCGAGGTAGCGGATACTCTCTCGCACACCGGAGCTGATCAGGTTGGATGTGTAGCCCAAGAAAAGGGTGCATCCTGAAGCAGACGTATGTGAATCACAGCTCTCATGCTCCTCCTGCACCGGCTCCAGTCTCTTCTCTATCTACTCCAACCACACACACACACACACAAACAAACAAACAAACACACACACCAGACATCACAAACAATCAATGCAGGAGCTGGGACACTAGTCATGCCATTTAGTGGATGATTTTAATAGCTACAAGACTGAGATTAGGAAATAAGTGAGAATTGATTGCTAAGGTTGTGCTGAATTGTAGTATACGTATAGATTACACAGTGCTCCTTTCCTAACATAAAACTAATTATTAGATCAGTATTTGATGTACCTTAAAATATGAATTTTACAGTGGCCCCCAAAAAGTATATGGACACTCAGGCAGGACGTCATTGCATAAGATAACAAAATAACAACCCATGTAAATCGATTTTTTTTTTACAGTCTCTTTTGCTCACCAAGGCTGCATTAATAAAAATAAAAAAACACAGTAATTGTGAAATATGATTACAATTTAAAACAACTTTTTACTGCAATACGTTAATATATTTTAAAATGTAATTTATTCCTGTGATCAAAGCTGAATATTCAGCATAATTACTCCAGTCTTCAGTGTCACATGATCCTTCAGAAATCATTCTGATATTCTGATTTTCTGCTCATTTATTATTAGTTATTACTGATGCTCAATTATTAATGCGCTTATTATTATCAATATTGAAAACAGTTTATGCTGCTTCATATTTTTGTGGAAATTGATATTTTTTTCAGGATTCTTTGATGAATAGAAGTTCAGAAGAACAGCACTTTTTTAAGTAGAATCTTTTGTAACATTATAAATATCTTTACTGTCACTTTTGATCAATTTATTGCACCTTTGCTGAATAAAAGTATTAGTCTATTTACCACATTTTTGAATAGCAGCAGCGTATCACAGTTTCCACAAAATATTAAGTGGCACAACTGGTTTCAATATTGCTAATAATAAGATCACGTGACACTGACGACTGGATTAACTGATGCTAAAAATTCAGCTTTGCATCACAGGAATAAATTACATGTTAAAATATATTTCAATAGTTATTTTAAGTTGCAATAATATTTCACAATATGATAGTTTTAACTGTATTATTGATTAAATGCAGTCTTGGTGAACATAAGAGACTTTCAAATATTTTCCAAAAAAAAATTTTTTTTTTTTAAAGGGGTCATATGATGCGATTTCAAGTTTTCCTTTCTCTTTGGAGTGTTACAAGCTGATTGTGCATAGATAAGATCCCTGAAGTTGCAAAGACTAAAGTCTCAAAACCAAAGAGATATTCTTTATCAAAGTTAAGACTCTGCCACGCCCCCCTAAAACGGCTCGTTCTAACACGCCCCCACATATCTACATCACCATGTGGAAATATTTGCATAATGCGCCCAAATGATCACGCAAAGAAAGAAGGCGTGGTTTCAAGTAACCGCAGTTAGTGTTGAAGCAACATGTCAGGGAGACGCTGTGTGTTTAAGTGCGAAAGCAAAAGCACTTTATTTGGATCACTTACAACAGAACAGCAATGCATTTTATGGACGACCGTTTCGTGAACCTAGGAGAGGAGGTAATTCTGACTTTGCTATGACAATCTGGCGCTTCTGAATCAGCTACTGTTTTGTTATTAGTTTAAGTATTTGCTATTGACTGTTCAAATGCAGAGTTTTGAGCAT